CTTCACTCAAATCAGGCTTCTCCAAGTCTTAAAAAAAAAAAAAAAAAAAAAGTAATTTCTACAAAATGTGCTTTATTTTCATCCTTTCCAAAAAAGGATCTATTCAAATTGTGTTTACTCAGTAACTTTCATCCATACAAATTCAAGAATATTTGGCAAGTTACCCACAAGGATTCACTTCAGAGAAGCCAGTAATAAATTACACAGATGACATTATTTAACAAAACACTGTTTTAGGTGAAAAAATCTCAGCTTTAACATTATTATATTTTCCCAAAACTGTTTGTATGAAGAATGTCTGAAATAATGAAACCTTTGTTTTAAATATATTATTTTAAATGTTAAAGTTTTAAACAAACAACTGGATAGCAATTAAATTTTATAATATTTCAATACACTAAAAAATCCAAACCAAGAAGTATATCAGAAACAGGCTTGCTAATTTTCTGAACAGCCAGTGACCCCTTCTTCTCCCAAGTTATTCACCCTGTGTTGGTGTGTCAAGAGGTACATACAAGAAATACGCAGAGCAGTGCTGGCTCTCTAAGTATATTATCTTTACCTCAACTATTTCTCACTTATATACCAAACGAAAAACTAAACGTCCATGGTTAGAAAGTTCACATTCTTCTCAGTCAGTCTGACTTTTTACACATTTTTATAGACGTAACTATCTGTACTTCAAACATTTAGCATCATTTCTATATATTTTACTTGTAAATTTCCCCCATGGGGTTTCAAAGTTACTTTATTTCAGATGTATGCCATGCAGATGTTAGTGGTACTTACCCTTTCAAGTTCCTCAATCCTCTTTTCCAAAGCGTTACTTGGTAGAGAACTGCCAGAAGAATTTGCATCCCTGCTGTATCTGCTGTAAGTTGTCCTGTCTGTTCGGGAATATCTATTTGGAGCATCATCTTCTGGTGCATTAGCTGTGCTACAAAGTCAAAGAGCAAAGCAAATACCTATTTATACATTTAACAAAATGAAAATGATAGAAGTAACAAGAATTGCTTTCCAAAGCACTCAATAGGTCAGTCTAATGAACTTCACAGCTCGTGTTGCACAGAACTCACTAAATTCACTGCCTCAGGGAGTCAAATACTTAGATAATGCAGTTCTCATTACATAGGTAATCAACTTTAAACATACTTCTCCTATCTTATTTTTAAAGATTTAAAAGTTTTATGAACTGAGTGCATCAAAATCCAAGATAAACAATTTTATTTTAAAAAGTAAAGTACCACTATAGAGTTTAAACTAAGCATCTTTTTAAGCAGAAGAAAACATAAAGGATGAAAAACAAGTACATGTCCAAAACGTAGGCAGCTTACACACATGAACTGACTTTTCAGGAACTATGGATATGGCCTGTAAGGAACTAGAAAGCGACGCGGCCCAACATATTAATTGTATGTCATTTCCAAATCTTTTACTTCAGTACTTGGATACGTGCCAGTTTGTCATAGCTCAGTTGGTAGGCACTCATTTATTAACTAGTGATGTTTTTTGCGTTAGATCATGTGTCAAATTCCTTAAAAAACACTGCCATGGAATCTTAACAGGTAAGCACTGCAAATGCACATAAGAGAGTTTTTAAAAAGCTTATACATTATAGCATTGACAGCTACATACAAAACCAGTGCTAATTTAAACATATATATGAGAAGTTAAGCACGTTCAAAGTCATAAATTTTACAATGTCCTTGCCATAGCTGTTTTCTTCCTAATAGCAACGTCATTTACCTTCAATGCAGAACCTAAGAATAAATAGAGAACGTAGAACAAATAAGAGCAGCAGAACAGAGTGCCCTGGGACCAGCCAGAGATATACAGATCTTTCCCTTCTCAATCCACCAAAATCATACTACTTTGACTTTGAAAATATACAGCTAAACAGCCAAAGACAAAAAAAAAAAACCAACAAAATCCTTGTTTAGTCTTCACCAGGAGAACTCGAATGGAGATACTCAAAAGCCATCTGGACAATGTCCTGGGACACTGGCTCTAGATGGCCCTGCTTGAGCAGGGGGGGTTGGACCAGGTGCCCTCCAGAGGTCCCTTCCAACCTCAACCAGTCTGAAATTGTGAAATCGCACAGATGAAACATGTATACAATGGTTTTCAAGAGCACTTAGGAAAAGAATGAAAAGCACTACGAGTATCCCTAAAACCCTGCCTTTAAAACACAGGAGTAAGTACATGATTAATGTGTTCATTTAACAGCGTTGCATTTCATAACTCTAGAAAACCCCTGCTGACAATGTGCAAGTCTAGATGGATACAGTGCAAATCAAAAGCAGGAGTATCTGGCAAAAGGATGTCTTTTCATGCATGGATATAAATATTGTTTTGCTCCAGTATGTGTGAAGTTTCCAAGGCACACTGACACAATTGTAAGGAATTTTGTAGCTTAATGTTATTACCATATTTAGCATTGTTTATTCTTCATCTAGAAGATTTTTTTAAAAACATTTCTAGGACCGGATACGCATGTTGCAACACAACATAAGAGAAATACTTTAGCTTAACTCTATAAATTCTAGATTATTTAGCTTTCTGAAAGATGTGTTGTCTCATGCTGTTCATGTCATGAGGACAGACCACACAAAAAAGGCTCAATTTTTCATCACTCAAAAATGAGCCCCTTTGCCAACACTGGAGTATCTCAACTGAGCTCCAGTGAGTAATCTTGGCAGATGCTCCTACAGGAAAGTTACAAGAAAAAATATCTAGACAGGAAAGGTTTCATTACTACTGAAAATTAAGACAGTTTCTGTGTTTTCCTTGAAACTCACACTCAAAAATTTCCTTATCTGTTCCACTGAGGAGCAGATCCTTCTAAACACATTCCTTTTCAGTATCAGTAAGTACAACAAGTATATCACTAAGACTTCTAGGAAATGAGATTCAAAAAAAAAACATTTAAGGAGGCATTAGTCCACCTAAGACAAGGAATGTGACAGATACAAAGTTCATTATTTTGGCTGTTATAATCAATGTCCAGTACACAGCAACTAAAAAAAAGGTATCATTCAAGACAGTACACACGTCTTTCATAAAGAATGGAATTTTAGTCTTCAGATACAATGTCACTTTGCGAGCCTTAAACAAGAAATAAAATTTATCTAGAATAACGACATCACCGAATTTGATGTCTATCCTTTATTAAGAGAAAATACCTATCCACCAGCCTCAACAAAGCTATCTCTATGGAAATAAACCTGTATATTTTATATATATAATCCATATTGTGTTTAGAAATATGTAACAATACTACTACTACTACTATCTGTCCAAACTGAAGAGCTTTGTATACTACTAAGAAAACAGATTGGGTTTATGCCCTCCCCGCCCCCTTTTTTTTT